TGCCAAATATTAAAATAGTAGTCGCTGATTGGCCAAGTTAACAGTGAACAGTGAACAGTGAACAGTGAACAGCTAACACGTCGATAGCATATAATCTACTTTATGGGCGCCCAAAAGGGAAAAAAATTATGAACACACACACACACAATTAAGTCGAATGCTTGTAAACACTATTAAAGCTCACACATGTAATACGAAACGCTCACAAAAGACATTCGAACCACGCGCAAATAAGCCGAACCTCTCACACAGAAGTCGAAATGTCTCACACACAATACGAACCTCTCACACACAAGTCGAAATGTCACACACAAGAAAGTCGAAATTTCCTCGTGGGGTCTTGGCAAATTAGCATGTTAATTTATTTAGGGCGAAAAAATTTGTATATATTTCTACACTTTGTTTACGGTGACAGAATAAAATATTGCGAGTTCCCGTGTTTTAATTACAAAGCACTCTTTTGGCTCATGTTTGGCTTGGATAAGGATACTTTATATCGCATACAACAGAATGGAAGAGCAGCCTCGTACCCAGACGCTATGTATTGTTCTATGGCTTGCGTGGCCTTTACGTGGGCCGCGTAGATTAATTTCGAATTTTCCCTTTTTCTTCCTCGCGTGCCATCCCACGTGCGCTTAAGATAATGACGTAAACAAACCAAAGTGCCTGGGTACGCGGCTGATGAAGACGATAGCGACCTTAAGCATCAAGAACATTGCCATCCGGGACGTCCACCGGAAATGATTTTTGTCTAATATGCGTGACTAATACCACCAGGGCGCAGTCAAGGTTTTGTCCAATACGTGGGTTTGCATTGTATATTGAGTTCTGGGGAAAACGCAGACAAAACTATGGCTTTTACCACAAAAGCTCGGTCATTAAACAATATCCCGGACGGCAATGTTCTCGATGATCGATTGCTGATCTTGCATGTGACGGAAGATAGAATTCAGTCGTTGGTCCGCTGGAAAGTCGGCGAACTATTTGTCCCAGACAATTGGCCCACGCAAGATCAGCAATTTGGTGCCACTGAAGATGATCGTGAAATAAACAATCGATTTTGCTTGCCGAGAACAAGAGCTGATAACAACAATGCCATTCATATGCATGCCAACCCGCCATCACCGTTGACGCCGTGAAACAGTGTAAATCAGTCCTGTTATTACTTCATGGACTTCGTGTACAACGAAATAGCACAGAAGAGCAATTTAAACTATGGCTTGCAACAAAGATTTGGCCCTGGACCAACGAGACAACGTGGTCGGTCTTGTATTAGCGAGCTTAAGCATGTAGGACGGCAACACGAAAACGACGACCAAAACAAATTCCTTCAAATAAAGGATAGTAAAGAAAACTTGTCGTACAGTATAATTCGTATGAATTTAATACAGTATAAGAAGTTGAAAACATTGGCTTTATGTTTGGAAAAAGTACTACAGAACCGAATTTTAAGTTGCACTTGTTACGGGCTTGAAATGCAGGCGTTGTATAAAAGACGTGAAAATCTGTGATTTGCGGTTGTAAACAGAGCGACGACTACGTCTGAAACTCATACGGGACTTTAATTAATTGACTCATTGTATTGGTTGCCGTCCTACATGTTTAACTCCCTATTAATACTCGACGCCCTGCAAATATTGTTAATCACGTCAATACTGCTAAAACCTCTTCTGGAAAGAACGAATATTTCCTGAAAGATGTTTTTGCCTGCTTCCCCCAAGGCGTGATCGAATATAAAGTCGACCTGCAAAGACTACACGAAGTCGAGGAAGTAACAACAGGACCATTTACACTGTTTCTCGGCGTCAACGTTTCTCGGCCGGTTATCAGCTCTTGTTCTCGGCAAGCTTCAGTGGCACTAAGTTACTGATCTTGCATGGGCCTATTATCTGAACAAATAGTTCGCCAACTATCCCCCGGACCAACGACTGAATTCTATCTTCCGTCATATGCAAGTTATCCTCTTCCATGCTAAAAGAATGCTTTGTACAGTAGTTAAAACGCAGGAAATCTCAGCATTCTATTCTCCCGCCGTAAACAAAGTGCGGAAATGTATGCAAATTTTTTCGTCCTAAATAAATTAACATGCTAATTTGCCTAACCCCCCACGAAGAATGTTCGACTTTTTGTGTGTGACATTTCGACTTCTGTGTGAGAGGTTCGGCTTATTTGCGCGTGGTTCGAATGTCTTTTGTAAGCGTTTCGTAGTACATGTGTGAGCTTTCATAGTGTTCACAAGCATTAGACTCAATTGTGTGTGTGTGTGTGTGTGTGTGTGTGTGTGTTCATAATTTTGTCCCTTTTGGACGCCATACTACGTCGTAGATTCAAAAATTTAGCGAAAACTGAAGGGTGACGAGAAAATAGTTTTTAACATAGCCTAATGATTTTCAACAAAGGTGCATCTATATACTCATAAATAATATATACACCTATATATACTGTACTATTACCAGATACTTAATTAATTAGAAAGGGGACAGCGTTTAATATTGATAAGGCAATGTATAGCCAGTCACTTACATTGGAGGATGCGTTGACATAATAATATTGGATCACTGCCAGGCCTTTTCCTATCTGAACTTTAAAATACGTGATATTGATCGCATTTTTCCAAGTAAGATCGTTCCAACTTAACAACATAGTTACGTTACTGTTTTTTGACGTATTCCTTATGAAACTTGCAGTGATAGATCCTCGAATGTGGTTGGTTCCTTGAACTACTGTAGAGTAAAGTAAAGGAAGATCGAACAATTAGACGTTTATAAAAAAAACATGTAGAAAGAGCTATGCACTTGGGGTTTTAAGGTAAAAGGTTCTTAGGAATATTTTATGCTATTTCTGGCAGGGAAATTTGTCCAGAAAATATTTTTCAAGTATAAGGGTCGATCTTGACTGTAAATAACGTGCGTGTGCTGCGCATTAACAGGTGCAGAATTCATCTACGTACGCAACCTAAGATCTATGAAATCGATTGCAACTTGCTTTGAATTTAAACAAAAGCGTGTATGATTCTCAATTGTGTTGTGTTGTGTTGTGTTGTGTTGTGTTGTGTTGTGTTGTGTTGTGTTGTGTTGTGTGTAAAATTTTAGTCTGTTCGTAATTCGTAATTTATTAGACATGAAGATTGAAAATGATCTTCACATGAAGATTGAAAATGAAACTGTTCAAATGCGCGGGAAATTGTCAATAGCTTCGAGCTGAGGCCGATGTCAGGTTCGCGAATAAACGACGGCGAAGTTCTTTTGGAACACATTTATCAATTGCTTCATCACAAATAGCTTCGTCTGTTTGTTCACCAAAAACACACGTTTTGCTCAAAGTTACGATTATAATTATAATTACTGATGTAGTTATAATTGTTAAATAATAAATATTTTTATTTTGAGGTTTGTCCGTTCACTGCAACCAACTGTATTAATGACATGTTTCGCTCGCTACTCTGTTAAAATAAATGATTACAAAGCCTAGTCAAATTGTAATCAAGACCGAACGTTTCGACACTCCAATCTTGTGTCTTCATCAGGGGTGATCACCACGATTGTAACTTTAGATCACTCCTGATGAAGACACTAGACTGGAGTGTCGAAACATTGCGTCTTGATTAGGATTCGACTGGGTTTTGTAATCATTTATTTAAACCAGAGTAGCGAGCGAAACATGATTTTTATTTTGGTTGTATCTCGCACAATATTGCATGTAAATTTAAGTGTTTTATATATCAAAATCTAAGTTAGTCCATTATGAATGCAATGATCTTTATTTCATTACGATAGCTTTTATAACCTTTGCGTTACATGAAATCAAACAAAGTCCGGTGTTTTTGGGACACCGGTATAAAATTTGATAATATTTAAGATTGAACTTTACCACAGAAAAGGTAAACCTTTAGTCCTTTTCTAGCTAAAAGTAGCTGATTCATAGTCCAATTTTTATGCACATGTTGCTCTAGCTCCGAACAGTTAACAGTTGACTTCAAATCACGATTTGAAGTTTGCCGTTGCCGTTAGAGGTTTGCCGTAAACGTCAATCTTAAAGTCCCTAATATATATTATTGGTCAGCTGAAATAAAACGCATTGAACCGTGACTGAACGAAACGCGATCCAAATCATAATTTAATTTGTTTGGTTAGATTAACCGTAACTCGTTTACATCTTTCAAACGTTGGGGCTCAATTAACTCGAAGAACAAAATGTTCGATCGACTTTGCTCAAGTTAAGCCCCAATTTTCTAACTGGAGTTAGGTACTTCGAGTTAAGCCCTCTATGTACTTCGAGTAAAGCCCTTAACGGAAATGGGTGAGGCATGGGCGTGGTATGGGCGTGGTATGGCGTGGTTGTGGCTTAACTCGACAGGGCGTGGTTGGGGCTTAACTAGGTAGGTAGGTAAAACTTTATTTAAAGGATCAGACGCTGGCTCCGTCAACTATACGCTGATTTCCAAGAGGGGCATGTGGATTACATGATATTATATTACAAAAATATTACACACACTAAACTACAAATAACTACAAAAGAATTATGTACAAAACTAATAACATAATTAATTAATATTAGAAATTATAAGCGTCAATTGCATTTATGAATGTTGGTAATGTATCTGAATCACGCATATCTGCAGGTAATGAGTTCCACAATTTAGCTCCATCTTACACATGTTTTTCTTAAGGTTTTCAATTTTTGGCAAAGGTATAGTTGTAGTGAGGTAGAGGAGCCCCTAAGATCATATTCTGTTATGTTTCTTTTGCGTACGAAGAGAGTAGCGAGTGAACTTGGAGCCAAATCATTTAGAGCTTTGTAGATTTGTTTAACTTTAGATTTGGTTCGTCGAGTTTCAAAGGGCTCCCACCCTAGAGCATTTATTGCTTCTATACCAGGTGTATTATACCTCAAATTCATTATTATTCTTGCAGCTCTATTCTGCAGTTTTTGAAGTGTGCTGGAGAGACCCACACCAAGTGTATCCCATACCTCACTACAATAGTCAAAATGAGGACGTATTAAAGCATTATAAATAGAAGACAGAGTTTCTCTGTCAACAAAATCACGGATTCTTCGCATAGCTCCAATTCCAGACGTAACCTTTTTAATTTAACTACATTTTCAATGTGTTTGTTCCAAGATAGATTTTCGTCAATTTCAACGCCAAGAACTCTACTGTGTTGGACTTGTCTAATACTGTCATGACTGATGTTAACAGATGGTTGAGAATCAAGGTTGTTCAATTTATGATGTAAGCCAATTAAAAGAAATTCCGTTTTTGCAACATTAAGACTTAGTTTGTTGGCCAAAATCCATTCCTTTATTCGTAAGTGATCATTATTCATGGCCAACTCAACCTCTTCTATAATTTCTCCAGCTGCAGTAAGATTCGTATCATTGGGAAACTAACCTGTCTAAGACAGTCTGTCTATTGTAATTCTGTAATTCTGTTTTGTGATTGGCGAGATTTAATCAAAGAATCCCCCCGTCGAAACAGAGCCTTCACGACGTTTCAATTTATTATTTACTGAAGGCTCTGGAATCTAGAGTAGCACTCAGCGTAAGGTTTGGTAAAAGTTTTAGGCCCTGTAAGCGCTATAATTTAGTGTATAAAATAATGTGACTACATTGTAATTTTTTGTAATTTATGCATTGTAATTCACTCAATGGACTTTGGCCACTGACCACTGTAAATTCTATATTATTATAAAGTTTTGGTTTCTTAGTATATAATATATAATGTGGTAAATATGCCCAGCAGTATTAGACTTAATACTAGAAAATACATGCATGCAGAAACCCTCGCCTTACTGATAAAACATTATGTTTTCTGAATATGAAGAGTTGAAAGTAGTTGTCATAGTAACACGACAATTTTAAGAATAGTTTTAAAATTGAAAAATCCCCCAAAAATATCAGTTTTAATAACAAAAGTATCAATTTCCCAAACATATATAAGCTTCAATTTAATGTAAAATTCAACCACAAACCGAACGCTTTGCAACACCTTTTAAAATCTTCTTAGAACTATTAAAACGGCCTTTTATCGAATTATCGGTAAACATTGAGTTTAAAATATACTGATTTCAAATTCTCGCACGAAAATAACTTTGCTTTCCTTTTTTATTTAAATATTTCAATATACAAAAGAAAGGGTAATTAACAAAACTATACTGAAATTATATGTCTTTTTTCACTTATATATGCAACGACGAGCGCAACGATAGAATATCAGTTCGATATTCGCAGTATCGCCCACCACTATCAGTTATAAATATATCAATTATAAAACAAACAATACATCAATATTTAAAACAAACTTACCTTCATTAACGTCGGCGAATTTGCTCCAATCTTTTAGAAGTTTTTAGACGTTTTTCGGCTCTCAGAAAAGTTTTGAAATTTATAAAATCTTGCAAAAATATACCCTGGTTGCCAGAGGTTCTGTATCTTTCGCCTTATTCCCGCTCGTATATTTATTTTACGCGAGGCGAAGAGAACCTCTGGTGGCACGCGATACAAATCTCACTTCCATGCTGACGTTGCCGTTGAGAACTTGCAAAACCGGTTTTGTATTTTGTGACGTTTTTAAACTTCCGGGTTTGTCATACTACCAAAATAGCTCTCTTCAGACTGTTCGGCAGCCTTGTGTAAAATATTAAAAATAAGCAGCCCAAACATGTAGGTTATTCATTAGAAACATGTAGGTTATTCATTAGAAACATGTAGATTATTCTCGCACAAAGCCACCTTATATACTGATTGTTAAATTTGTGGAATGCCGTTTGTAATAGCGAACGTTAGGAACGTCTAAAGTCAAAAAATATAAATATATAAATATTTATATATATGTGTGTGCAACGGAGCCAGTATGTACGTTGTCCTTAACAGACAACGGGAAAATATTGGCAAAATAAATCATATTAATGACTATTAAAGTCAAAGAATTACCAAAATTTAAAACCTTGAACGATATAAAGCAAGTGACCAACACTATATATTTTACAAATATTAATACTGTAACTGAACATGTCATGCCGTCAACTCAAGTCATGCCGCGATGGCAGGTCTTCTCCAACGCAGAAAATCGTTTTATAGCGAAACAAACTAAGTTAATCTCAAATATATAAACCCACACCAAGTAAAGCATTTTAATACGTTCGTATTTATATTTCTGCATTTTGTTTACATCATGTTCTCTGAGATTTATAAACAGGTTTTTTTGTCTAGCCAATCGCATCACTTCATGTGACTGCTAATTATAACTAACCAATCATGTGCTTGGTACAAATTTTGTACCAAAGGAAGAGAGATTTGTATCGCGTGCCACCAGAGGTTCTCTTCGCCTCGCGTAAAATAAATATACGAGCGGGAATAAGGCAAAAGATACAGAACCTCTGGCAACCAGGGTAGCAAAAATACAACTTGAAAGAAATGTTTGTTATTTCGCTGTCGTCAATTCAGTCGTTATAATGCAAATTCCAAATTTGACCAATCAGTGTTCACTATTCACGGCAGTCCGCTACATATTTAGAGATCAGTGAGGATGACCACCCATGAATGGTGAGCCATGCGCCCACGATATTTGATGAACTTTAGACTTCGCTAGTACCCTCGGACGGCGCTTCGCGCCGTCGGCTCGGGGATGAAATCCGATAGCAAAAACTTGTGTTATATAATTTACCTGTACGTCTTTAAGAATGCTTTGTCGTTTGTAATTTATACGCGTACTAAAGCAGCGCGTAATTCATCAGATTCCACTTGGTCTTGGAAATATTATATATTCTGGCTGTATGTCTTATTAATAATTGTCGTCTGAAATTATACGTGTCTTAAGCAGCGTGTAATTGAACAGATTTCACTTGGTCTTCGAAATATTATATATTCTTGCTAATGCTTTACTGAATATTACTTACATAAACATTAACATTAACATTAACACGCAAGTATTCAATGATACGCACATTTTTAATATTTCTTTTATTTTTTTGTTTTTATTTTATTTTTTTATTTTTATTTTTATTATATCTGTCACCTTAATTAGATTGCCTTTTAACCCCTGGTCTTGGCCGCAGCAAATGCAATGCTTTTTCTCAGTTACACTCATGGCATGAATCGATTCTGTATCCTTCAGACACTCATTAATAATTCATAAGCTTATTGGCAAATCATGTCAACCATAATATGTCACGTGCAGTGGCTTTAAACCTGATAAAACACTCCTAATTAGTATTCTTTATATATACAATACTAATCAGGCACTATCTATTGTTGTCGTGTCCTCATTAGTATTTTTTTATATAAAGAATACTAATA